CCATCCCCAGACCCACTCCCCAGAAGCAACCACTCCTAATTAACTTTTTCTGGTTTTTGATCTTGTGGTACGTGCTGCCAAATTCATATTTAATGTTCTTATATCGCTGATTATTTTATCAAAGTCAAAGATTATCTCCTGGCTTCCTCCACTTGCGTCATTCTCTTCCTTCACTCTCTTCCTGTCCGTTTTTGATAGTTTATCACATTGTCTGCTTCCTTTATTTCACCTTTGAAACTTTCATAATCATATTTACAACTGTGATTTCTTGCTCATGACCTTTTACCCATGCCTCCAGCCTCGCCTTCGTAAGACGCAGCCAGGGAGACCCTCCTTGCCCTCATCGCTGCCTCCCTCCCTCTGGCCTTCACACCTCTCAGCTCTTCCTCCACTTGAATGTGATCACAGTTGATAACATATAACTTTTGTTCTGTAACCAGAATTAGTCTTTATTCTGTGTCCACAGGTTGATCTCAAGTTCACAACCAGTGCATGGCTCCTTTACAGGCTGCTCAGCCCGGGCCAGCTGTGCTCTGATGATTTCCCAGCACTGAGGGCCAGTGGACGCTCCTTTCTTGCCTTCCACTGGTGGCTCAGGATGCTGCCACGTGAGGCTTATTCCGTTTATACCACGATTCCCTGTAGTTTTTGGTTTTTCCTATTTCCATTTACCTTTGTATTCTGTTGAGAGAAGACGGAATGACGCCTCTCATATCGTAAATACTTCTCACTCGTTCTCTTGTTCGTTATCGATTTCCTTCTTTGTGATGGCCATCTTCTTGCACCATTGGCTCCCTCTTCTCATCTGCTCTCTTCTCTTTCTGTCCACCCATGTGTATCCTGGCCTCCCAACTCTGTCCCTCCATTCTTGTGGACACGTCTTTCTCCTCCTGAAGGGGTGCATGGAAGATAAACTTTCTGAGTCCTCATGTGTCTGGAAAGATTCTGTTTTGCCCTCCTGCTTGACTGAGAATTAATTCTAGGGTCAAAATAGTTTTTGAAACTAGAACTTTCAAAGTAGAACTTTGAAAGCCCGTCTGCTGACTTCAGTACCCACTGTTACGCCACCACCGTTAACACCAGCAGATTCTTGTCTTGTGGGTGGCCTGGTTCTCCTCTTCACTCCTCATGGAGGTTTTAGGATTGTCTTTAATCCTCCAACTTCTGAATTTTATTATGAGCATTTCTCTTTGAGATTGAAAAAAACTTTATTATACTGAATCAGTTGACTTTTGCTTGTATTTTCAGTTTTGTTTCTATTTTCAAGTCTTTTGCTCTTTGTCCTGCGGGAGTACCTTGACCTTATCTTTTATTCCTTTATTGACTTTTTTATTTGGGGAGGCTGAGAGGGCAAAATAGGTGTAATTCCCAAGAGCTTATTCTTTTTCTGTAATTGTCCCCTTTTCAGAGTCTCCTGTTCCTGTCAGTTTTTCTTTTGTTCCCTTAATTATCTTTGTCCATTGCAGGGTGGGTGTTCTGTTCCTGCCTTGCTTCTCATGCAGGCTGGAGGTCTCCTCTCTCTGAGTGTAAGAGACGCGGTGGACGGGTTAAGTCAGGGCTCCATGATTGGGGTGGGCCTCATGGACCAGAGCCTCTGCTGTAGGCTGAGTAGGCAGGAACCTCCTTTGCTGGGGGGCAATACCAGGGGGCTTCACCCTGGGCCCCAGCTCCCATGAGAGCTGCTCACTCACCACAAGTTGGTTCAGTTCTTTTGTATTTTCCTGGAGGTAAATATATATTCAAAATCTTTGGCGTGCGGGGCCCTGTGCGGGCACTGCCGACACAGAAGTGACAGGCGTACAAGATTCCCGCCCTTGTGGAGTTTGCATTCTAAAAGGAGGTGTTGGCACTCTGCTTTCTCTGTCCTGGAAGTTCGTTGACATCTCTTCTGTCAATGGCTCCTCTCCCTATGCTCTTGATACTGTAGATTTATAGCTTTTTATTCCTTTACTAGTTCTAAAACAGTATCTTGGAAAGTAGAGGACTGGAAGCACATTTTGAATTTATAATACAACATCTAGATTGTGACTTTCTAGAAAAATGGTCATGTGTGAATGCTAACCCAGAATGGTTGGGTGCTAAGATTCTGAAAAGAAAGCAACTACATAGAGTTTCTAATGTGGAGCGATAAAAATTGGTGTCTCAGGGTATACAGCAGTCTTGAGATACAAATATTTTACATGATGGTTGTGCTTTTCATCAGCCTCATTATGAGGACCTTAATCTTTTTTTTTTTTAATTTATTTATTTTTTCCCCCCCAAAAGCCCCAGTAGATAGTTGTATGTCATAATTGCACAGCCTTCTAGTTGCTGTTTGTGGGACGCGGCCTCAGCATGGCCGGAGAAGCGATGCGTCAGTACGCGCCCAGGATCCGAACCCGGGCCGCCAGCAGCAGAGCCCGCGCACTTAACTGCTAAGCCACGGGGCCGGCCCATGAGGACCTTAATCTTGCCTCTGCTTGGGTCAGGACTCATTGATGATCTGATTAAGCCGTCTCTAGCTTCAGAATCAAAGCTCAATTATTCATCCCCCCTGGAATAGCTATTAAAAAAATGACCTATTGCCTCGAATTTTCAAAAACATGTTATGTTAGAATGAATGTTTGTCTTATAGAACCTCAGGAAATTAGTTCCTTAAAGGGATCTTCTAGTCTTCATGGGCTAGAAAAATTTCTGGTCTGTGAAGTCCAGAAAAATTAGAATGAACTTCTTTTTTTTAGGTATGTTTTTCTCTAGAATGGGGTATGAATCCGTAGAGTTTGTGTTGTTTCTCAGAGTGTTTTTGCTCTAACTGGAGCTGATTTGTTATTAGTCTAACTTTTGAGGTCTCAGGACACAGTGGAGGCCACTCTCAGAAGAAGGCCTGGGCCAGGTATAGGTGGTCTGTTGGAATCTTGAGAGTAGCTCTCTCTCCCAGCCTCTGATGTGATAGGAGTGTGTTTCAAACTACACAACTCAATGCGTTAGGCTACGAAGAGTAAAACAACAGAAAATATCAATGGATTTCACATGATGAGGGTATTATTTTTGATGCTGTTGTGTGTCAGCACAGTGGAGATTGGGTCATGATATCAAATGCATTTCTTATTGCGGGTCTTGGAGAAGTTTAAGAGACTTTTCTAGAGAAGGGTGGGGAAAAGCTGGATAAAAAAGGAAAAATCAGCTTTTCTAATGTAGCTAATTAACCCGTGCTGTAGACTTAATTGTGGTCTGTTGTTTCTACCTTCTTCTGTTGTCTTACGTGATTTTTTTTTTTTTCGTGAGAAAGATTAGCCCTGAGCTAGCATCTGTTGCCACTCCTCCTCTTTTTGCTGAGGAAGATTGGCCCTGGGCTAACATCCATGCCCATCTTCCTCTACTTTATATGTGGGATGCCTACCACAGCATGGCTTGATAAGTGGTGCATAGGTCCACGCCCGGGATCCAAACCCACGAACCCCGGGCTGCCGAAGTGGAGTGCGTGAACTTAACCACTATGCTACTGGGCCGGTCCCTGTCTTACGTGATTTTTATGAAATATTTGGGACTTTGAATGTAGTACGTTGTTTCAGTGCCACAGTTAGAGAGTTGTGTATCCTAACTGTGCTTTCAAACAGAACAGTTGTTCCCACTCTGTGCTGCCTAGTAGAAATGCAATATGAGCCACAAATGCAGTGTTACTTTCTAGTAGCCCCTGTGAGATCAATTAAAATAATATATTTTGTTTACCAAGTTATCATTGAAATGTGTAATCAATATAAAATATTATTAAAGAGATATTTTACTGTGTTTATACAAAGTCTTGTATGTATTTTACACATATAGCACATCTCAAACTGATCTAGTCACATTTCAAGTGCTTATTTAGCCATATATGGCCCCCATATCATACAGTGCAGTTCTAGCTCCTTTATCCGCCTACACGAGGGATAGAAGCGTCCCTGTACTGCCCCTCCCATCAGGCTGCGTGGCGCCTTTGCTTGGCCCTGAGGGCACAGGAGCCAACACTTTTAAGCTCCTGCTCAGCACCAGGTAGGGTTCGAGGCACTTTCTCTATTGGACTGCATCCTCACAGCAGCCTGATGAGGTGGGTGATGGTACCCCCGCTTCATTGGTGATGAAATGTGGCCCAGGTTGGTTCAGTGACTTGTGCAAAGTGACCTGATTGGAGTGTGGTGGATTGGAGCCCAGGTTTGCCCAATGCTGTTCTTCCCATTGACCACATGGCTTCCTCCAGCACAGAAGAAGGGTCATCTTAGGGGTTTCTCCCCCGAGCCCCTGTCTTTATGGGTGAGGGGAGGGAGTCTTGGACATGTGTAGGAGTGTTTCGTGGTGAGAACTGTGATCGGGATTAAGTAACTTTGTTCTGATGGTAAGAGCTCTTTTTAAAACATCATTCAAACAATGTAGAAGGGTATAAAGCAGAGAGAAAAGTCGCCATAATTCAGTCCCCAGAGTTCAGCACTGTTTTCAGTTTGGGGTATATCCTTCTGGATTTTTCCCTGTACATATGTAGTCTCCCCTCCCCCTCCAGAAATGGCACAGAACGTTCCTTCATGTTGCTTTGCACTTGCCTCTCCCTCCCCACTTATGGGCGTGGTAGACGTGGCCGCATGTTGGAGTTGGACTCTGTGGGTGAGCTGAGGCCTAGAGAGATTGATGAGCCGGGGGCCCAGAGCCTCCCCGAGGGCCGGAGGGGATGAACACAGCCAGGGCCAGCTGATAGTCCTCCTCTTCCAGTCAGAGCCAACCTCCTTTAACCTTCGGCAGCCTTCTCTCTCTTTTTTTTTTTTCATGCCTGATGCTCTTTTATCAGAGCTTCCCTCTGTGATCCAGGGTCCTTTCTCCCTTTGGTAAACCTGATGGAGGATGGGAGCCAGAGCTGTCCCCAGCAGTTGGTCATTTCCAAAACGGGCTTCTGGTTTCTTCCCAGGAATGGTTGTCCTTTTGTGGTCTCTGGATTTTATGTATCTTTGGCGAGATGAAAGCTCTCTTAGTAACATTTGCCTCCTTTTTTGTAGTTCCCAGTGACCTGACTGCAGAGGAGCGCCAGGAACTGGAGAACATCCGGCGGAGAAAGCAGGAGCTGCTAGCCGACATTCAGGTAGGACACGTGCTGTCTTTGTGATGGGCGAAGTGTAGGCATTGGTAATCGCCTTTGCTTATTAACAGGTGAGAAGTGGAATCTCAGACAGGTTAAGTGGTTTGTAAAGCTCCTCCCAGCTGGTCAGTTGTCAGACCCAGAGTGGCCCCAGGTCTCCTGACCCCCGAGGGGAGTTCTCACTGCTGAGCGGTCAGTGGGGGAGAGAGACGATTAGAACAGGGGCTTCAGGTTAAGCTAGACCCATGTCCAGGTCCTGGCTCTGCCACTCACTGGCAGGGCGATTTTAGATACGAGAATTTTGGTTCTTTGAACATCAGTTTCTTCACCTGTAAGATGAGAATGAAAATACCTGTTGACTGATTGCTCTAAGGGTTAAATGAGTTCATGTTTATACAGGACATACTGCTGGTTCCTAGGAGATGTTTAGTCAGTGATAGCTATTTTATCAATGTTTTTCTAAGTTCCTTTGTGTAACTACCAAGCTTTGTAGGAGATAAGTCATAGAAGCCATTGGTTGAATTATTTTAGCCCTTGAGGCAGCAAATGTTCTTCTTCTAGAATTCTTAAAACATTTGGGAACTCAGGGGTGGGGAGGAAGAGGGGCATACCCTGGAACTCCAAAGCTACAAGGTGTGGAGCAGAAAGACTTGACTTGCTCTGGTGTTGATTTGAGTATATTTTGATTATTTGCCCTAATTCTCTGATTCCTCTTTCACGGGTGAATGTTAGGAAAGCTTAGCAGTTCTTTGCTCAAAGGCCCCTTGACCATGACAATCAGTCCATTCTGAGGGCCTGCTTAAATGGGGGGAGGTGGTGGAAGACGGGAGCTTGGGTTGGACGTTCCCTCTGCCGGCCGCCTGGCAGCAGTGTTGGTCCAGGAGTGGCACTGCTGGCGGCAGCCTGGGCATTTGGGTGGAGTAGCTCATCCCCACTGTGCCGTCACACTGGGTGTGCTCTGATGGACTGTATGGAGGCAGCCATCTTTCAGTGGAAAAAGACATATTTTGCATAGTGTATGTGATTATTAATTTCTTTCTTAGACTGTAAACTCCTTGAGGTCAGGAGCTATCTCTCTTTTACCTTTGTGTTCCCTAGAATGCTTACTGTCTGGTAGGAGCTCAATAAAGATTTGTTGACTAGATGAATTTTTCTAATTTACTTTTTTAGATGTTTTTTGTTCGTCTTATTTTATTTCATTTGCTTTATTTTGTTTGGTTGAAGTGAGTTATGTGAGATTTTAGAGGTTTTAGTTTGATCTGTCTCTTCCTGTTGTGCTAATTCTGGACCGTCTGTCTTGTAGAGGCTAAAGGATGAGATAGCAGAAGTAGCTAATGAAATTGAAAACCTGGGGTCCACGGAAGAAAGGTGAGTCCATGCTTCTGCTGGGTGGTTTTGTGGTTGTAGCTTTGCCAAGCACCCTGCCTGTAACTGCGGCATGTTTATGTGGCATGTTTAAGGAGAAAGTGTGTTTTCTGGCCTCTTTGCCTAGCAAGCACATACATAATCATACTCTTGCCTTCCACCCTTCAGTGCAGGGACTCCTGGATGTAAGGGCTTTTGACGTCCTGGGAAGGTTGAACCAGAGAACTTGGAAGGTCCCAGAAAGCCTTAAACTGCCCTTAAATTATTGTGTGAACTACTATTCCTTCCCCTCTATTGTCTACTGTGTTTGTATTTTAAAGTTTTTGTTTTTCCGTAGTGTAAAGGGGAAGCTTAATGAACGCTGTCACGCAGTCTCAGAAAGCTGGATGCCAGGTTATGTCTGGGTGTCATTCGAGCTTGTTTTTGCCTCCCTAACACTTAGGAGAAGAGGCTGTGAACATGAACTTATGATAGTGCAAATGACAAGGAGTGTCTGCAGGTTATATTTTTAAGTACATGAAATGCTGGTGACTTTGATGAGAGTTTAGTTCGAATGGGGTTCCCAGACCATGTTCTAACTGCTTAATGCAATAAATGGGCTGTTTCTAATTCACTACGTGTCTGTATTTTTCTAAGCCTAAGTCTCCCTGTCTGGCTTCCTAAGATTGTTTGATTTTGTTATTTTAAACTCTTGTGGGCGGTGCCATTAGGGATTAGTGGAGCTTCGTGTTCTACAGAAAGTGGCCAGCTCATCACTTCCAGTCTCTGAATTGTCAGTTTTAGATTATAGCTTTTTTACTATCCATTTTAAGTAATCGTGTCTTAAAAGAAATAGATAAATAGTTCATCAAAATTTAAAATTTCTGCTTTTAAAAAAGATACTGTTAAAAAAAAGTGACTAGGCAAGCCACAGATGAGGAGAAAATATTTGCAATACCTGTATTTGAAAAAGGACTTGTCTCCAGGAACTATGTATATTAAGAACACATACAACTCATTAATAAAAAGACAGCCCAAATAAAAAATGGGCAAAAAACTTGAACAGACACTTTACAAAAGAAGCTATATGTATGATAGACGCATGAAAAATGCTCAACATCATTAGTCGTGAGGAGATGCAACTTCCCACTACCATAAGATGCCGCTTCACACCACTGGGATGGCTGGAATGAAGCAGACGGCTGGTGCCTTGTGCTGGTGCAAGTAAAGTGGTGGACCCATGTGGGAAGACGGTCTGGCGATTTCTTATAATGTTAACATACATCCATGCTGTGCCCAGCACTTCAACCCCCAGGCATTTACTCAAGAGAAATGAAAAAGACACAAAAAGACTCATACAGGACTATTTACAGCATTCTTATTTAAAATGGTCAAAAACTGGAAATAGCTTAAATGTCTCCCAACAGATGAAGGATGAACAGATTGAGGTGATAGCTGTTAACTCACAACATGCAGCTGTGGGGTGATGAAAATGTTCTACAACTAGGTGATGGGGATAGTTGCACAACTTAGGAAGCTTACTGAAAATCGGTCAAATGGACACGTAAAATGGGTATATTATATGATATATAAATTATACCTTAATAAAGTTTAAAAAAATCATGTTGAGAAAAGAAAAGCACTGGGGTAGAAGGAACAAATGAGCATGGGGGCAGGGCAAGATTTCAGTTGACCTTCCACAGTGAGACCTAAGTGTGCCTGTGCTTTCCTGGGTAAGTCTTTCAGAAAGCCTTATACATCAGTGGATGTATGTGGGAATTAGTCTTTCAAAACTTCCCAATTACCTGAAGTACTAAAATGGCTATGGTGGTTGTTTTACAGGAAAAACATGCAGAGGAACAAACAGGTAGCCATGGGCAGGAAAAAATTTAATATGGATCCTAAAAAGGTAAGTGAAAGGAAGCAGCAGGAGCCCATGGTCCTTAAGGTGGGGGTTTGCCCAGTGCTCAGCTGGAACCTGGCTGACCTGCCTTCTGTAGAGCTTCCTAAACTGATTTGCCTGGCCCTTTGTGTCAGTTGGCAAGTATTTATTAGATACTTTCTGTGTCCAGAGCACCCACACCCATTCTTCCCTGCCCTTTGGCCTCCTTTCTAGGTGTTTCCAGAGTAAGCGCTTTTGGCATCTTTGTTGTCTTTTCTAGGGGATCCAGTTCTTAATAGAGAATGACCTGCTGAAGAACACCTGTGAGGACATTGCCCAGTTCTTGTATAAGGGTGAAGGGCTCAACAAAACAGCCATCGGAGACTACCTGGGGGAGAGGTGAGGCCTCAGGGACACATGCACAGGGGAGCAGGCTGGGCAGGAGTTACTGAGATACAAACTCCAGAACGCTCGCTCTGAGTTCCTCAAGAGAGTTGGTCCTGAGGCAGCAGCAGCCACACTGGTGCTGAGGGCGCTGTTCTGGAGAAGGGCAGCTGGCATGGACGGGGTGTGAGCACACAGAGCAGGACGGCTCTTCCTTCTGTGTGTGGTTGGTCGCCTCCCGCAGCCCACAGGGCCGTGGGCCTCAGCGTGGGAAACCGCCTGGCTGGGGATTGGGATGACCTTGGATTCTCAGCGTCAGTCTCTCACATCTGCTCCCCCCACCCCCACATGTTTTGTTTTTCTTGATAGAGATGAATTTAATATCCAGGTTCTTCATGCGTTTGTGGAGTTACATGAGTTCACGGATCTTAACCTTGTCCAGGCCTTACGGTGAGTATGTTCGAGGTGAGCACCTTGGACGGTGGGAGAGGCGGGTCTCTGACCGTGTGTCCGTCCTGTGTGGCATTGTAGTGAAATTATGCCTTTGGGAGTTCTTTTGAATATCTCAAAGTATTTTAAAGGAAAGCAGTCTATTGGCTTATGATTGAGATGATTGGATGGTTAAAGAGAATTAAATTGCAATATATTCTGAAAGCAAATTTTGTAAAATTCTTCCTCAGGTCTCTCATTTAATGTTTCGGAAATTGATGAATATTTAAATTTTGAAATCTTCTCTAATTTTCACTTTAGAAAACCCTTTGATTTCCTGCCCTAGAATAGGAAGTAGCTTAAAAGCTTCATTTTAGACAGAGAAAAGTGAACTTGAATTTTTTACTAAATCTGTTACCTTGTGCCTTTTGAGAAACTGTCGTTCGATATTTTCACTGCTATAGGTATAAATAATAACGTCATTTTTTGTGTTGTCATTTAGATAGATGAAGATAATCCAGAATTAAACCTATTGGCCATGGGCCTCTCTTTGACTTAAAGGGATCAATTGTGAATGTTTTGATAGAAAATCTGTTCTCCTGCCACCTCATTTTGTTTTTTGGAAATGGGAGTTTATTTAAAATGAGCATTATCTATATGTATTTCAGTCTTTTGTATTAGTCTGAGGAGGAGAACCATTCTTTTGAATAGGAAAATCTTAATTTTCATTTTTTCCTAAATACTTTACCTTTGATTAAGAGAACGGTGATGTGGAGTGGTGATTTTGCATCTGCTCAGTTGTAACAGAAGGCTGAAGGCCTGCAGTCTCGCTTTCCCCTTTGGTATAAAAATCACTCGAAGATAATTCACGGAGAAATAAATGGCCTCCCCAAGTCCTGCAACACACCCCTTGTCCTCCCCCAGGCAGTTCCTGTGGAGCTTCCGGCTGCCGGGAGAGGCCCAGAAGATTGACCGGATGATGGAGGCGTTTGCCCAGCGCTACTGTCAGTGCAATAACGGAGTGTTCCAGTCCACGGGTAAAGGAGAGACTCCATCCTTGTTTGTGATTGGCATTTTACACTAGATTCTTTTCTTGGCACTAGATAATTTCTAAAACAAAAGGCCTTAGGTTCATGCCTTAGAATATTGATTTAAATGGTATTCATAATAGTAAAAAGTTAGAGACAATTCAAAAGTCCAGCAATAAGGGAGTAGGACTGTGTTATGGTACCCCTGAAGTATGAAACATACAACCCTTAAAAATTATGTTTTAGGGCCAGCCCTGTGGCTTAGCAGTTAAGTGCCCGCGCTCCACTGCTGGTGGCCCGGGTTCGGATCCTGGGCACGCACCAACGCACCGCTTCTCCGGCCATGCTGAGGCCGCGTCCCACATACAGCAACTAGAAGGATGTGCAGCT